GGCCTGGAACATCTGCCCTGTGAGCAAAGGCTGGAGAGCTGGGCCTGTGCAGCCTGAGGAAGAGAAGGCTGAATGGGGACCCAATCAGTGTGTATAAATACCTCGAGGGAGGGAGGGAGAGAGAGAGGGAGAGAGGAGGCTGGGGCAGCCTCTTTTCAGTGRTGGCCACTGATAGGACTAGAGGAAACAGCCACAAACTGAAGCACTGAAAGTTCCGCAGGAACTTAAGGAAACATTTCTTGACAGTGAGGGTGCCAGAGCCCTGGAACAGGCTGCCCAGAGAGGCTGTGGAGTCTCCTTCTCTGGAGGTCTTCAAAATGCCCTTGGACGCAGCCTGTGCCAYRTGCTTTAGGTGACCCTGCGTGTGCAGGGGGCTTGGACTAGATGATCTCTAAAGGTCCCTTCCAACCTTAAGGATTCTATGATTCCTCTTTTGCAAACTAAATAATAACGGTGAAACATACTTACATCTAATGAGGTTAGCATTGGGCAGAAGCTCAGTTAGCACAGGTCTCCTCACTCTACATGAGATATAACTCAGGTTAGGGAGAGCACTGTGTTCAAGAGCGTCGTCAATCCAAAGATATAATCTGGAAATCAAGCTTTCCTCACAAAAGCATTTAGTTTTAGACAAGGTGTTTGTTTGTTTGCTTTGTTTCTTTTGTGCTACAAGGGCACTTGAAACYGGATCAAATCAATATTGGTCTGCTGGAATACTGCTTGCTTGGAACAGTCAGCAAGCCTTTCAGCAGCCATGGAGGGGTATTTTCTGTTAAAAGCAGTCAAATAAGAGAGCAAAGCTACTCATCCATACAAGAAATGCTGCCAATGGGACCCTTCTTTTAAGAAGTTTCTTCCCAACATGAGTTTGTTTACCATTGACAATGATCTTTTGAAGAATAATATTGGGAAGCTCAGAATTATACCATTTACAAAACGAGACTTCGTTAGGCTTGTGAGCACTATTTGAGTTTCATTGCGCTTTGCCCTCTGATGGCAGCCCCTGCTGCCCTCACRGAGTCCTGCTATCTGCCTGCCCATTGGCCTGCCAGCTTAGTTAGATGMCCAGTAAATACAAGAATCACAATCTGTTGTGCTTATTCTTTTACGATTATGGAACAAATTACAATTTCACTTATGGGGAACCATATTTTAGAGGAAATGGAAACCCTTTTGGTTGGAAAATTTGGATTTATTTACTCAGCCAGAAAATCATTAGGTGAAAATCAGATCAATCTGAAGTTTGTGTATGTGTGTGTTTTTCTTTCTTCTCAGTTTGGTGAAGGGTTTTATGTCTAAAAGATCCCCCTCTAAAAACCCCTGCAGATCTCTTCTGCCTTTTTTTAGCAACACAGCCTTCATCTTCAACGTGTTTTGATAAGCAGTGATCACAATGAGTAGCTAAGGTCTGGTTATGCTCTCTCCCCACTGAGCCCTTACAGGTGTGCTGGGCTGCAGTTTTGTTCACCTCTTTTCCAGGATGACTGCATCCTTTTCTCACCCAGTAAATTAGTAGCTGAGCAGCGTAATGTGTTTTTTTTCCAAGCTTACACCCACTGTAGGGGTTGTAATGCCTGCAGGGGTTGGGCACTTCAGTCTCTCAGCTGTGCTGAACTTTGCAGCAAAACTGAAAATCAGCAGCTGTATTGGTGCCACTCATCTTGGCTGTACTGAAAGCATCTGGAGTATTTGGTGGGAAAACACCAGAGTTTTTTGGTGTTAACTGTGGCGTTTTTTTCTAAGGCATTTTCCATAGCACCTCAGGTACAGGTAGGCTGTATACATGGTGATGAAACTTGAATCATTGTACTTATCTGTCTACAGAAAAGCAAATTTCAAAAACATCGCTTTTCATTCCAGTTTGTCTTCAAGCTCACTGCCGCCAAGCAACAGGACCATTTCTTCCAAGCTGCCTACCTAGAGGAGAGAGATGCCTGGGTTCGGGATATCAAGAAAGCTATTCAGTGCTTAGATGGAGGCCAGAGGTTTGCTAGAAAATCCACAAGAAAGTCCATCAGGCTGCCCGAAACCATCAACCTGAGGTATGTTCTCATGGGGAAGACGTGTTTGTCCACGTTACCTATCCAGCTCCCTTAGAGTCCTTCCTGCATGACTAAGAGTTTCAGGGAATGAAGCGTAGCAGAGGTGAGCTAGCAGTCAGCGCTGGCAAGATCATTTTTGAACACTTTTTTTTAATCAAAATATGTTGATTTGCCAAGAGATTTTGCTGATAAGGAGCTATCTGAGCACAATGCAGTACAAAAGCAGATCCCAACTGAAATCATGATTCTTTCAGGAGAGGCATTTTTTTATGCTAGTGTCTTGCAAAAATATTTCAAAGCTGTTGTTTGTTCTCCAGATAGATGTTGTTATTAGCAATAATTTTGCTATGGGGATATAATAATAATTTATTTATATTTATATTTATATTTATATTTATATTTATATTTATATTTATATTTATATTTATATTTATATTTATATTTATATTTATATTTATATTTATATTTATATTTATATTTATATTTATATTTATATTTATATTTATATTTATATTGTATAATAATAATTTTGGATGGGGAAGGGAGAATGGGACCTGCTAGAGAACTTGAAGCCGGCGAAAGGAAAAGAAATAAAGGGCACACACAGGAAGCCATCTGCATGTCTCTGTTTATAAAGACTTTTTTTTTTTTGTCTTGTCTCTGAGGAGTAAATACTAGGGTACAAATGAATCTGCAGGGCTCTGGGGGAGCTCTAGAGTGGTATAGGGCCAAGTCCCAACTAAACTAACTTCACTGGTTTCAGCAGAGAGTCCCTCTGAGTAACAATCTTGGCCCACGGCTTTTAGTATTTGGCCTGCTTGTCACTTTAGAGCTCCAAGGAATTAAGAGTTTTGAGCAAGTGAATAGCAGGTGGGAGGAAGGCAGTCAGACCAGGAGTAGCAGGTTACGCAGGGGCTCTGAAAGCTTGGAGATGTTGAAGATGTCATGGTCACAGGTTGCCTGCCCTGCTGAGGACTCTAGGGGAAACGTAGCAGATCAGTGAGCTCCCATATCAGCACYGGGCTCGTGGGGCCCTGGGAAGGAGTCTGAAGCTGAGCTGGTTCCTCTGTTCACACTGCAGTAACCAAAAACTGTTCCGTCTCAAAATGGGCCTTGGTGTCCTTACCCTTCTGCTCCTGCAGTGGTACACACGTGGTGAGACCTCAAGGCTTCACACATCCAACTTCACAGGACACGGCTAAGCTGTGCAGCAGCTCTGCAGAGCTCGTGACACCAGCAAAGTACGAAGACACCAGTGAATGAGGGCTATGTTATATCAACTGGCTAAAGCTTTCTGGTTTCTAACAGTTCCTGTGGTTCTTTTTATGCACAGTGCTTTGTACCTTTCAATGAAAGATCCTGAGAAGGGAATAAAGGAGTTAAAGCTGGAAAAAGATAAAAAAATGTACAACCACTGTTTTACAGGTAAGGAGATCATGTTCTCCATTTGCACACAGCCAAAGGAGCAGAGGGCCAAGAGGGTCAAGACAGACCAAAATAGCTCTAAGCTGGGTAGAGCCCAGAGAAGTCTGAGAAGAAAAGCTGGCAGAAGTTCTCTAGATCAACACAGAAGAGGCTTAAAGAATGGAACTTGAAACGCTGTTCAGATAAGGCCGTGGTAGGTTAGAGAKAGTGGCAGGGATTGTAGCCTGCTCTGAAAAAGAACTAGTGACAGAAAGATTGAAACAAATCTTTGTGGAGAATTCGATAAAACACTTAGCTCCAGCAGAACTATTCTGCTCTGGATTCTTGATTAGCAGACTGACACACTGTAATGTGTGCTATGAGTCGCATCTGTGGGTACTCAGGTCAAAAGCCRCTATTTCTAAGGCACCAAGTCAGCAGCAGCGTAGCTGGGAAGACGTCCTTCTCCGGATGCGGCTGCCTGTAGTGCTTTCCTCATTCCCTGCCGCTGCGGCTTCCCAGCCCTTCCCTTAGCCTTGCATCCTCTTCCAGCTCTCTTTGAGATACAGCATCCAAGAGTTCTGCTGACCTTTCCCATTACTCACATTGCTGTAGTCACCACATCATCCAGGCAGCTCTCCATGTTAATTGTGTTGTCCCTAAGGAGATCTTTTAGTCGATCGATGAACAAATGGAAGAGGTTTGTTAGCACTGTGCAACATGTTCTAGGTTATATGGGACTRGATGATCTCCAAACGTCCCTTCCCACCTTGGTCATTCTGTGATTTTGAGATTCTTCGTGTCTGCCTTGGTTCATGGCTGATGTTCTCATCTGGTCCCTTGTAACCAGGCACGTGTGTGATCGACTGGCTGGTTTCTAGCAACTCCATCCGAAATCGCAAAGAGGGCCTCATGCTCGCCTCTGCGCTCCTGAGTGAAGGCTACCTGCAGCCTGCAGGGGACACATCCAAGGCTGCTGCYGAGGGACTGTCAGACACCCCCTTCTTGGATCTCGTGGATGCCTATTACTACTTTGTGAGTGTTGAGTTCTGGGTTTCTGTTTCCCCAGGCTGGCAGATGCTTGGTTTTCTCAAGCTTATATTATATTTCTTAAGTCTCAGRGGAAGAGTTGTACAGCCATAGGGATCCGTGTTGTCTTTCCCAATGTGACATCCAGAATGAAATTGCTCGGTTTTGTGTTTGTAAGCAGTCGGGCTTCCCACCACCYTGTGTAAATGTGATCTGAGGGCTGAGTTCATGCTGGGTTCTTTCTAAGGTAGACGTTGTTCCCAGGACTTTCAGCAGTGACCGTAAATTACCAATTCCACTGGTGATTCAACAGCTAGGGGAGTAATTCATTATCATGTGATTTCCTGGACACAAGATGAAAACTCATTTTTCTATGTGAAGCCATTGGATCTGACTCAGCACGCACAGGCGTAGACGTGCCTGGMTGGTTGTCTTTTCTTTTTTAAATACCCCCAGCCAGACTACCTGTCCTGTGTCGACTACTCAATATTTTCAGTTAGTTTTACTTGCTCTGTGACTTGATTAGACGAACTCATGATATCACAATCATAATCAAATGCTCTTTTTAAGATGTTTGGTTTACCAACAAGAATGAATTCCTTTTGCCAAGTAAGAATATTTAAATATTCAATTTTGTTTATATTTACCATGTAGTCATTTGACTTCAGCGAAATGACCCTCCCAGCATTTCCTTTATTTTCCTGGAATATCTATGTGGTTAGGAGACCTTACCTGGGTGGAAATGGAAGGACAGGCGCTGCTGGCTAAGGCAGAATTGGCCACCAGAATGTCTTAAGACCTGAACATATGGTGGTCCACATGCTGTCTGCTTGCTTTCAGCTTGAGTTCCAGTTGGAGTCTACATTAATGAGGCCCACAGCATGTAGGACCACCTCATGCTAACGTGCTTCCATGGCGATTTGGAGAACTCCTCAGCTTCACTGTGAATTTTTCCTGTGAAAAGCTTGATTTTTTTGGCTGGCAAAAACCAGGGTAGAGGGGAGCCAAAGAAAAATCATGTTATGCATGTACCATATACATGTACCAATTGTGTGACCTGTGACATCTCTCTTGTGGTTGTGCAGCCAGACAGTGGGTTTTTCTGCGAGGGGAACTCTAGCGATGATGATGTTGTCCTGAAAGAAGAATTCAGAGGCGTAGTGGTTAAACAAGGATGTTTACTGAAACAGGTCAGTATTTCATATATTTCTTTCTGTCACTGGAATAATGCTGCACAAATATGAGATTATGTTTGTTCATCTCCACACTTGCCGAATTTAATCCTTATTGCTCCTCCCTTTACACAGCACTATTTCCATAGTAAGATTGCAACACCTTTTTCCAACTTTGCAAGGTTTATTGCTCTGATTACAAAATATTAATGTAGCTAATAGTTTTAACTAGACAAGAAATAATGCTTAAGCAGAAGACACGACAAATAATTGGAAATGAACTCAGATAGAAAGGTCCCCATGCAGCGTCTGTTTGGACACAAAACCATAGTCAGATGCCAGCTACCAGAGGCTTTTTCAGCACACGTAGAAAAATGTCACTAAGGTTTGATCCTCTCCCATCTGCAGAAGATAGGAAATAGCTGTATGTCTTCATTCCCAGCCAAGCTTGATACCATATGGTAAACCTCAAAATAAGATCCCTACTTTCTAGGGCCTTTACAATCATATATTAGCAAAGCAAAACCAGGACTATGATTCTCCAGTTATTTTAACAGGATGGAGAATCATGCTATAGAGTAGTCTGGTACTAGATTAGACAGAATTTTTAAATTTGCAGTCTTCTCTAGGAGTGTTAAGGCATATGCTGAGCTCCAGTGAACACCCAGGTTCCTCTCAGAGGATGAATCACCRGTTGATGTGCTGTGATAACCCAGTTGTGTAGGAGAGCAAGGCACAACCATGTGCTGGGGTGTTATTCCGTGTATTTGCAACAGGAAGAGTGACCAGCATTGCTCAGACTGCCCTACTCGGATCATAACTCACTTGTACATTCAGGCAAAAGGGCTGTAAAAAAAAAAAAAAATTACAGCACTGAGCTCTTCTCTTGCAGTTGCCATGCAGTGCCAACTACCAGGTACAGTGCTGTGTCTATGAGTATCGCCGTTGCACTTTCAGAGAGAGACTTGTGGATTTTAACAGTTTATGCTGAAGCAGTTTAAGTCTTAATCCAGTGGCTCATCTTGCCTCTCTGCTGGATGATACCCTCCCATGGCAGAATCACTAGAACAGGCTGCCTGTCTKCTGCTCTTAATTTCTCTCAGTACCTGGAGTATTAAACAGATGATGCCTGTAACTASTAGGCTGGGTTGGGAACAATGGTAATTTAGCCAAGGGCTGTCATCTCTGGAAGCGGCTGGAAACAGAGTCTAAATCATCTCAGCATGATAGTTAATGTTCCCAGTATGGATCTCGAGGTCGTATGGGCTGGAGCCTTAGGACCTGTTGCAGGACTTCCTTCAAGTGCAGTGCAGATACCCGGGCACATAGACATCATTGCAATGTATGAGGGATGCTATGAAAAGGTATGCAGTACTGCTAACTGAAGAAAGGGAGTGGGTGCTGCACTGCTGCTTTGAATACTTGCTTAGTCCCTTTTCAGGGGAACCAACACAGGAAAAATACTTTTTATTCTGAGTTCTTTTGTGCTCCTGTCACCAGTGCTTTATCATGGATACCTACTTCTTCTTGAAGTCTGGTGCCTTGAAAATATCTGTTGGGAGCATAAGTATTTTTTTCTGCTGCTTACTTGTATTTCTCCTGATCAACCAAACTACTCAAAAACAATGCAAGAAATAAAAAATGAGTATTTTTGCTAACATTTATCATGTCACATTCATCTTTGCCTAATTAGCAAGAACTCTCTTGCAAACAATTGCAGTTAATGGAGAAATTAAAATTTTGAAATGCTGAAAGGAAATGATTCACACCAACCTTCCATCAGYGTTGGTCTGTGCATGGGCACCCTCAGTGAACTATGGATCACTGCTTGGAAGTGTCACTGCTCTGCTGAGAGTGCCTGTTTTCCAGACTAAATTGATGGCTGGGGACAATGCTGATCCATGCTTCCAACCAGACTGTCTTGCTGCGCTTGCCACAGAATGAGTACGGCTGATTCAGCCTCACACTGCTGCAGGGTTGGGATCTCTTGACTGTCTCTCAGTCTGTCTTCTCTGCTGCTTTCATGGTTTCTCATCAGCTCAGCTGCAAATGGCAGGGGGTACATATGCACTGGGGGAAGTATTTTCCACCTTCCGGAGGAAAAAGGAGAGAGAGAGAGAGGGAGAGAGAGAGAGGGAGGGAGAGAGGGAGAGAGGGAGAGAGGGAGAGAGGGAGAGAGGGAGAGGGAGGGAGAGGGAGGGAGAGGGAGAGGGAGAGAGAGGGAGAGAGAGAGAGGGAGAGAGAGAGAGGGAGAGAGAGGGAGAGAGAGGGAGAGAGAGGGAGAGAGAGAGAAGGCAGGACTAGATGAGCTGGACATAGTCCATGGGTGTTTGTTTGGGGTCCCCGAATCCAGCATAAGTCCACAAGGTGACCAGCTGTGACCCATGATGAGCTATAGGGTGAAATCTCCTTGAGCCAGGGACAGATCAARACTGGTTGGGAGCTGGTGAACTAGAGGTCAAGGCAGCTTTTGATAATGTTGTGTAGGTGCCTACACAGCTTAGGCTTAAAATCTTTTGTGGACTTTGTGCTTGGTCTGCTGCACCTTCTCTCTAGGCGGCATCCTCACCGCTGCGGGAGGCACCCAGGGACCAGCACGGGGTAGTGTTGGGGCGATGCCCACAGGACCTGGGTGCCCGAGGATGGTRTTACTGCAGGTAGCAGGTTGGTGGCAAAGCTGCTTAAACCAACCCATAAAACATGCTGAGGAGACAATTGGGTTACAGCGTTAAGAGCAATGAGGCGTCTACTTCCCTATTGGGAAGTGTGTTATTTCTGCTKGGACTTCCAGCCATCAACCTTCTCCAGCAATCAGTTTAGTGATCCTTTAGCACGGTTAGTTCTGTGCTTGAGCCAGTTTAGACTCTCTTGCCCAATTTTTTTTTCTCTTGTTTGTAGTGGAAGAGAGGCCTTCAGAGCCTYGAGATCACTGTTGTCAGTAACTCAAAGGCACCTGTCTGCAAGATGCTTCACAACCACGTTTTGTAGGAAGCCTCTAAGCCCAAGTCTTGCAGATCTTACGTGAATGTCCTAACTACCCAGCTATGAGATGTTTTTAGGAGAATATTCCCTGGTGAAATAGTTCCAATTCTGTACAAAAAATAAGGGAGAAATGAACTCAGCCCAGTTTTGGGGACAATAAGGTAGGATGCAGAGGGACCAGTCCAGTCTCTACTCCACTGAATATTTTCTGGGTAAAATATTCATCTTATTCCCTTCTGTATTTACATGTTCTCTCCTATGTGTGTGGGCATCTGCTGGTTGTAAGCACATGTAGGCCGGGCAGTTCATGATGTTCCTGTTTGTGATTTTTCCCAGGGGCATCGGAGGAAAAACTGGAAAGTGAGAAAGTTTGTTTTAAGAGATGACCCTGCATATCTTCACTACTATGATCCTGCTGGAGTAAGAAACATTTGGTTGACATTTTCTTGTATCTCTGTGTATTTTTTCTAAAGCCTTCCTCTTGTGGAATGTCTGAATGGAATATTTGCTTGAGACTGTCTGATGGGAAGGTTAAGTGGGGCTATTTGTGCTCACATTGCCTGGCAGCTCTCTGGAAAAGTGGAGAGAAGGATGAGTTTGGGGGCTGCCAAATCAGCGTGGGAAGTGCCATACAGAGCTGAGAAGCAGGCAGCACTGAACTGTGCTCTCTCCTACTCTTTATGATTAAGAAAAATAAAAGTGTACTCTGATTAAAATTAAAGAGGTTAGAAGAGCAAATGAAAATATGCAATCATTTTGCAGTTTGCATTATAGCTGAAGTATTTTCCATGTTAGGCTGAGTCATGGTGTTCCATTTTTTTGTGTTAACGTAATGGGCCAAACTGTGGGCCTCAAGAAGAGCGTTGGCATGAGCAAAGCCTGCCGCACAGAAGCTCCCGTTCAGCCCCGGTGTTGAGTTTGCCCTGCACTGCTGCGGGAACGGTGCTGGTGTGCTGGGAGCTAGAGGAGAATCAGTGCTGAGGAGTTGGACTCCTCTATTCCCAGCATGTTTCTTCTATTCTGGGCTTCCGTTATGAGAGGGCTGAGACTTGTTAATGCACAGACTGCTTGCTTCAGGCTTATGGCAGCAAAAATACTTTTTTTAAACTTTGGTTGTCACAGTCCTGAAGTGTGAAGAAAGCCAAATGGTAAATTAAGAGTATAGTTGCTTCTGCTACTTGATAAAGGCATTTTTAGGATCTACTCTTCTTTCTCTTTGAAAACAGAGCTCACGGGTGGCACAGGGCTTATTCCTTTTCCACACTTGATCAGAAGATACAAAATTCCACGGACCCAGAACTCCAACAAAATTTCTCTTTGCAAATGCAGGTCTGCCCCCCTCCATTCCCTGTCCTACACAGTTGAAGGATGCCCCATTTTTCAGAGATGATATCTTCATTTGTCAAATATTCTTGTTGCTGTTGTGGAGTTTCGTTGGATGTTTATGTTTATATGTCATGTTTCATTTTGATTTACTGCCATCCCTAGGGAGAAGATCCACTAGGAGCAATTCGCTTGAGGGGCTGCGTGGTCACAGCAGTAGAAGATGTGCCAGACTGTAAGGATCTGTGTTCARAGTGTTGTGTGATGCATTTTCGTGCATTTTTTTCTGTCTGTGTGAAATCTTAAATGGTTTGAGTCAAAAGCAATCTTTTTGCAAAGATTCAATAGTTATTCTAGTAACTAGGCTCTGTCCTGCTGTCTTAATTRCTGCAGAAGGATACTGCAATAAAAGACAGAGGCTTAGGGATGATCACACCAAAGAATTCTGTATGTTCTGTCACCTGCCAAAACTATCTGTTGTGGTGACGTCAGTACTTATCCAATGTTGTAAGGAATAAGGACGTCCATCCCATGCATTTTCTGCTCTGAGAAACAGATTGTCATACTCGTCAAGAAGGTCGGGTGCCTCGGCACCCGTGTAGGCTGTGCTGCCTGGTGTGCGAAGAGCCAGAGACTTCCATGTGAAGTGAGCTTAAATGTGCTTTCCCTGCAGCTTGCAAAGCACGGCTGGGTTTGAGGAACATGACCTGGCTGCAGGTTGCAGATCCTCCCATGATCTTCCATGGGGTGAATAGTGTGTCTTGAAAGCAGAACACGCAGAATTTTTTTTCTCTCCATGAGAAAGACAGATCTCACGGGCTTGATGTTGCCCGTGACTTTGCAAAGACTTTGCAAAGGCATAATCAGGCAGAGCTGCAGAAAGCCAGGAAAATCCATTAGAGCCTGTAAAGATAAAGGATAAAGATAGGTATCACAAGGAAATACTGTAAATACAACCCTTCATTCTTACTTAACAGACTTCCTTATTTCTTCCCTGCAGCCAAGAAGTATGATATCAACAACAACCTGTTTGAAGTCATCACAGCAGACGATATCCACTATTACTTGCAAGCAGCCTCACCCACAGAGCGTACAGAGTGGATCAAAGCAATTCAGACAGTTGCTAGAACCGGGAAATGAAGATGGTCCAACAGCAAAACAAACACACCACCCAAATCCATTTCTTGAAGCAAAGCAGGAATTTTAGCATTTCACTGGAATCAAGTAATACTGCTGAGAAAGGCTCCTCGTGGGGGTGGGGCTAGGTTTCAGTTCTCTAATGAGCACTAACAAACTAACATACCTGATACTTTTTAATGGGAATGTTTTGCTAAATTATAACCTCAAACATGCCTTATTAGTGTGTGTTTCTTTATATAATTAGACTACCTTGGGAAACCTGCCTATGTTTCTCCCTGTTCCCACTGCTGATATTTCACCATTAACAGGAGATAATAGTGTCACTGACTGTTAGGGACTCAAGGAGTCACCTATCATTCAACCTATGTTGTGCTTTACTGTCTTTGGATTCTTTCAGACTTCCCAGGACAAAGACCTTGCACTTGCTTTTTCACTAGCCGGGGATCTCCCTCTGTCTGTGTTCACCTAGATAAGCAGTGCCATCTGAGCCGCTCATTAGCAATGGTATCTGAGTGTTAAGAAAAGGAGAATTGTGACAACTACAGCAGCACTGTGCTTGAAGCCAGTGCAGCTTAGGGACAGCAGTGTGAGTTTGCACACGGGACTGTCCTTCCGCCCACAGTACTCAGCACATGAAGCAATCTCAGTACATCTTCTGCATCTGCCTGGTTTTGACCTTTGCTATTTTTTCCTACACGAGTCTGTGCTGGCACTGCTGTTTCTCTTGATCTGTGACTCCAGATCAGTTGCTAAGCTTTCATGTACTCCAGCTTGACCCGTACCTAAGTTAAGAATCTTGAGGGCAAGATCTCTAGATTAATTGGGTTACTGAATGGAATGTTTTTGCTTATGTTTTTTTTCCTACAGAAATATGCACAATGCTTAGTTATGTGCCTTACTTGTGTAAGTAAAACCTTGTGCTTTTTTAAACTGGAATAAACTTTACCGTTTGACAAGGTCACTTTACCTGATCAATTCTCAGTTTTTTGTTTGGCTGCATGTACCAAACTGTGAAGGTTTTAAGCTTTAAGCAAGAGCTGAAAGACAAAGTAGTGTTAGATTCTGTGTGTTAGCCTGGTTCTGCTGCAGACTGATGTTTCTGATTCTAAGTAAATTTCAAACTTTAGCAATTTTTAGACTTTATAACTGCTTCTAGACTGTTCTGAATAAGAATTCTGAAGGATAAGGTATCTTATTTAGATCTAAGAACCAATTGTTTAGTCTTTTTAAAATACTTGCTTGGCACTGCAGGCCTTGGCATATTTATGACCTCAGTGGTGAAGCACAGTGAATTCTGGCTGATTAGCCTGGCAGCATGTCTGTTGTTCTAAATGGAACAGGTGGCTTTTGGTGAAGAAATACAATGCTGTTGTCCTAAGAGCTGAATCTGGAAAAGTTTCTTTCAGTGTGGTCTCGCTCATGAACTAGTTCAGGTAAAGGTGTAGAGTCTTGCTCTCTAGTAAGTTGGGTTTCACACTGGCAATAACAGAAAACACAGCAGGCTTGCAGGGACAGAGCTGCTCCTTGTCACGTCCATTGGAGATATCTGGAGGAAACGAGCTTTGAATAGGCATTTCCTGCAAGCTGACAAGTCGCCAAAGCCCCTTCCACCACTCTGAGAAAGGAAGCCCCATGGTGAAGAGATAAACTGTCTGCACAGCCCCGTTTTCTTGATAACGGTTCTGTGCTTGTAGATTTTTGCTTCAAAGCTCACTAGCTAGAAACTGTCCTATAGCACAGGAAAAACAAAACAAAAAAACAGAAACTCGCCCAGCTTAGTGAAGAGAGGAGGCAACTGCCATTTTGGGGTAAAACTAAGGTATCTGTCTTCGACCTTGTCACTTTTCTCCGGGTCCAGTCAGGGATACAGCTGTCCACATATGAATATATATATATTTATATATATATATTCATATTCATATATTCATATATTCATATATTCATATATATATATGGTAGGTGATGCTGATCAGCATATTTGTGGAGGAGCTTTGGTGCTCATGTGGGTTATATGAGCATAGGTAGTCATTTTGAAGGTCTGTCATTTGGGTTTTCAGGCATGTTTATTGACCATGCACACCAAAATGCACAGAGTTTAAAACAATATGAAACAAAACAGACCAGACACACATGCAGAAAACATCCATGAGTGCCATGGTGTAACAAGCTGTCAGCCACAGGTGCTACTGCTGTAATCCATTAAGCCCCCCAGGTGGAAGCACTTCATGATGTGTTTCTAGCAATGGTTTTGAAGAGCATTTTGCTTTTCATCTGCTCTTGCTCTTTCTTCTGCTGTTGTAAGGCTAATATTTTTGATAATTTGTTTTTTAAGTAGTATCAGAACTAACATTCCTGAAAGCTCCCCTTAGAAATTTCTTTTGGTACTGGGATGTTGGCTGGAAATGTTTCAGTAGGTTCAATTTTTAGCTTGTTCTTTGGGAAGCTACAGGACAATGTGGGAGTAAGCTTTGAAATGGAGTTGAGCAGCTGTAAGTCCTCTCCTGTGTTGGAAGTTGGGGTTCTGGAGGTGCCTCCAGTTTGTGCCCTCCAAAAGGGCCTCTGTTTTGTCTGTGAAGTGTGGGCTTTCCATTGACATGCAGGGCTTTGATAACAACGTACAAAGTGGTTCTTCTCTGTGTGCTGTRTGGGAGCACTGTGTGCAGTTCTGGCCTMTCCAGTATAAGAGGGACATGGAGCTCCTAGAGAGGGTCCAGTGGAGAGCAGCTAMGATGATGAAGCGACTGGAACATCTCTCGAATGAGGAGACTCTGAGTGAGCTGGGCCTGTTCAGCTTGGAGAAGAGAAGGCTGAGAGGGGATACGATCAACATGTATAAGTTCATGAAGGGAGAATGTAGGGAGGAAGGGGCCAAGTTCTTCTCATTGGTGGCCAGTGACAGGACAAGGGGCAATGGGTGTAAGTTGAAACYCAGGCAGTTACATCTCCAGGTGAGGAGGAACTTTTTTACAGTGAGGGTGASAGAGCAGTGGAAGAGGCTGCCCAGGGAGGTTGTGGAGTCTCCTTCTCTGGAGGTCTTCAAAACCCACCTGGATGCCACCCTGTGCCACATGCTCTAGGTGTGCCTGCTTGAGCAGGAAGATTGGACTAGATGATCTCTAGAGGTCCCTTCCAACCTTCAACATTCTGTGATTCTGCGATTCTTCTCAAAAAACAGAATAAAAAGAAGCATGAGGCCTTTCCAGTTCATATAAGTACTTGCTTATTTGTATAATATACGGATTTGTATAATATACGGATGTCCTGTATACGGGGCAGTTTTCAACAGGAAAGGTGTCACGTGCCTGTCCCTCCAGCGCAGGCTGCGGGACTTGGCTGCGCTGCCTGTGACCAGTGCCGATGGGGAAGGGCCCTCCGTCCTCCTCTGCACTACCCGGGCAGTTTCTGAGCACGACCCAATTGCGATTCTGTTTCTTTGCGTGATGGGAAGACCAAAAGGCTAATTTTGAGAGTTCTGAACTACAAAGACTAGCGCTTTTCCAGGTGATTCTGTTTGCCTGAAGCTTGTGGATTTAACTATTCAAACTAAGTCTCAAGGCCCAATGAAACCTCTATAATGTTCCCATCCGACTTCAGTAATTGCTGTACTGGAGCCTTGAAAAAAAAAAAAAAGTGTGGTTTTGGCCAACACTGTAAAAGGTGTTTGTTGGTAAATACAGAACTGCTTTAGCATGAAAACTAGGCTTAGTTGTCCTGGTAGATTTGCAGAATGAAAGTAGAAGAGAGCCAGCACACAGTCACCTGTATTTACCTATTTATAACAGAAGTCTGAATCTGATGCATGAAAAACAATTTGAGCCCAATTACCTCGTAGCTCTTTGAAATTATACTTATTTTAGAAATTGGTTTAACTTAGAAAACAATAGATGGATTATGTGAAAACTGAGCAAATAAACACCTCAGATAATATTTGTCTGAAAACAGTTTTTTTTGTGTTTTCATGTGAGACTTGAAATAGACCTCCTGGCTCAGCCTTAAAGTAACTTTTTAAAAATAGCCTTAAAGTAACTTTTTCCACCCCCTTCTTTATCAGAAGGTAGAAAGTCCTGCTCTGCATTTAGAAGAACAACTGTGTTGTCTTAGTCTTTTTTTCTGGTTCCTGTAGATGTCTGATTTTTGTCTGCAGCTTCTTCTACTGCTTTTTTTTTTTTTTTTTTTAACTTCTGGTTGGTTGAAAAGGGGGAGTAAAACTTTGTGAAAGTCAAATAAAATCTTGTTTCTTATACTTGAGCTGATTTCCATTTTAAGCATAAATGGGTGTAGTTAAACTCTTTTGCCTTCGCTCTATAGTTTCTGCCTGCCTTCACCTGGGAAAAAATTCCCTCTCTTCTGCATCCCAAAATAAAAAGGTGACTGGGAATGAGCGAGGATAAGAATGAGGGACAAATAATGAAGTTACTCATTTTGGTATTCAATAGTTGAAGAAAGGTGGAAATCACTTTTTTTTTTTCTTTAATTTGCCTTCAGTATGTCTTTCACCAAAATCTTGAGTAGTATTAGATCAGAACTATCAAGGGAGAGGAGGTGGAATTTGGGATCATCTAATTTAAAACCAACAAACAACAGCTCTGAAATTCTGATTTTTTTTTCCCCCTCTATCTCCAGACTCAAAGAACATTCAGAAAGTTTATTTCTTAGGGGTTTTACTATTAGCATCTTGCTCTTCATAAAATATACAAGAACTACCTACTGCAGAGTGCTAGAGGATCACTCATACAAATTGGTATATAAGGAGCCTTCTATATGTATATATGTCCTTCTACATCATAAGGAAAAATCAGGAATCCTTTCTCAAGCAGCCAGGAACGTCGTCAGAGAGGTAAGAAATCTTTCTTTGTCCTTTTCTGCCTCTGGAACGAGTGTCTGGAGCAGTTCTGCTTACAAATTCTTCAGTTGTTTCCTCTCTGCTACTTCATGGTGCAGTAACTACAAGATGCTTCTGAATAATATGAATTTCTTATCAGTTATCTGATACTCTTGCACCATCTCTCTGGTTAATAAAAGCAAATTCTTCCATGTAATGTGTGACAGTAGCAAAGTAAGGCTGTGGGGTGCGTTGTTTTTTCTTAGTATTTTCACTCGAAGGCAGGCTCTTTCTCCATTTGCATCTTCTGTTTCCTCTTCCTGCACTTTCTCTCTCCCTCCTTTCTTCTTAGAGCTATTTTGACCAAATTTTTCTAATCTGAACTTGCCAGAAGGGCTAAAAAAAAAAAAAAAAAACCTTGTGGCTTTATTGTTAAGCATCATGTAGTGAAATTTGGATGCCTGAAGATGCATCTAGTGACACTTTTAGAGCTCTTGCAACGTACCACCTGGCCTTTAGCCACTGCTCCACAACAGCACGAATTTCTTCTGGACTGCTCAGATCTGCGGCACCCAGGGCTGTGTGGATCTGTAGGCATTTAGTGTWTCTCCCTAAATAAGGTTTTGAATAGGACCCAAAATTCCAAGTACAGGTGCTACTTCAAGCTGTACTATCAACACAGTTATCAACTGTGTTGATAACCCAGTTGTATGTTGGTGTGATTTTGAAGAGCAGTATTTGGATAGTGACGTTCAAGAACATATTTTTAAAGAGCTAACAAGTTCAGTCAATGGCAGTAGATGAAACCTGTGGGATACAGATTTCATGTTGAAAGTTCATAGTACTCTGGTTTACTAGAGTACTATGAGCTCTGTACTCATACAATAAGTAAAAAGGAAAAAAAAAAGTAGTGTAAGTGACTTTAAATATTCTGTCAGATGAATAGGTGATTTCTTGTGGAGATCTCATAAATAGTTCGTTCACTGTAAAGAAATGCTTTAAGAGCATTGCAAGCGGGTGTATATGCATGTGTCTGCTTTTCTGTCGGGGTTGCAGGCTCAGGGTTGCTACTGGCTTGTTTGAAGCTTTTCCTGGGTTTCCAGCTCCCTTGACTCTACTTTTGAAGCTGAATCATCCTTAAGTAGGTAACTGATGACTTCTTGGTCTTTTTTTTTTTTTTTTGAATTCTGATATCTGATATCACTGAGGCGATGGAAGCATAAAGGGAGAATCTTGATAGGTTGATTTGGAACAAAACTGTTCTCCATAAGCTGGGAAAAATAGCATTTGGGAGCATCCAGAGCTGAACAGGATAGAGACATGAAATGTTATTGCCTGCCTGCTAAGAGCATTTCTCTTGTTTAAATTATTTTTAAAATTTGAATGATCTAAAGAAGAAAAGTGAGTGTGATGAACAACGTTGGGCTTTCCTTTTCGTCCGGTCTGATTCTTGATGCCGATGACTTCAGGCCACATCCTGCGTCGTGATGAAATAAAGCCACATGGGTGGCCTCTCCCTCCCAAACGGAGCCCTGCAACGTTGAGTCATGGAGGAGGCTCTGAAACCACAAGCGTTTCTGAAAATCCAGAAATAAAACACTCATGTCCGGGGACCTTCAGCCGAGCCTCAGTGCTGGACAGCACGATGTCAAGTTGCACGCAGCAACTCGGGACATACTGGGCAACTGAGAAACCTGGATGCTTTCTTCTGCCCCCGCCAAAAACTTCAGTTACTTGAGCAAGTTTCCAGTGGGCGTGCGGGGTGGGAGGAAGGCAGCGCGTTGGCCACGTGCCGCACAGGCCGCGTGGGATGGTGGGAGGCCGTGGGGATGTGGGCCTGGCATGACGCCCGGGTGATGGGCGCCCCGGCCACTCTGCCGCCCTGAAAACTGATAAGCAAAGTACCAGGGTCAAACTGGTCAGAGTGGTGCGTGAACATCTAGGAGCAGGATATATATACACGCACCAGAGCAGAAGTTTCCATTTCTCCAAAAATAGTAAGAGAGTTTGATACCGAAGAGGAAGGGGAAAAAAAAGAAAAAAAAGAACAAACCTTCCCCAAGCCATCTCAGTAGGAGGGTAAGTGACATGGTCCCAAGATAGTAGGTGGGGTTTTACATATGTGACCTTGGTTTCTGAGGGTGCTCTTTGGGGAAAGCTGCCTGAGCACTGCTGCTAGTTTGGGCCCGGATAAGTTCTTCTACTGGTGGCACTTCAAGGTTTTTGTTGTAGTTGCAGGGGAGGGAGGCCAAGAGCAGCTGGTGGGATCGAAAGTGCTCGGAGATACGGAGACGGGCGGCCACTGGGTGCGGGGAGGCTGCAGGAAATCTGAGTGCCCTCAACAGGAAGAGGGCACGTTCAGCCTGCACCAGGGTGCAGACACTGAGTAGGTGGCAAGGCGGAAAGGGAGGGAAAAACAGAAGACCAAAACTGATGAAGTGAAATCTCCAGAGGGAGTTAAAACCCTTAAAGGAGAGGTTGCAGTGGGAGGAAGGCTTTATTTTCATGTGAACTTATATTTAAATGCTTTTCTTGCTGTCCCCACTCCCTCAAAAAAAAGAAAAAAAGGCTTTCATGAGGAGTTTCCACTCTTCCTACTTTAGACTTAAAGATTTCCGCCTCGTCTAAGTGCATAGTAGAGCTCAGTCCCTAGCGTGGTTGAAGATGCCTGCCTGATCTGGACAGAGTGAGAGGGATGACAAATGCTGCTAATCTCTCATCTCGTAGAAGAACGGGGGAAGAAGTCACTTAGAAAATATGTTTTTTTTTTCAATTTAAAAACTGTGTCCTGAGACACAGCCGTACAGCAGATATATAGGAAGGGGATAAAAAGAGGTGATTAAACTGCTAGGAATTGAGATTGGAGGTAAATGAAGGGAACTGGGTGAGGAGAGACAAGGGAGCTGACTTAGTGTTCACTTCCACTGCCCCGTGTCTAATAAAATGGGCACTTGGATGACGGCGTTTTTCTCATTAATTCATAAGTAACTTTTTTATCTCTGCATTTCTTCAAGTTAGGCTATAAGATGATGTGAGCAGAGTGAGGCAGTGAAAAGAGATGTGGGTTTTGTGTGTGCTTAACTGGCACCGATTGGATATTATTAGGCTTTCTGCTCTAAAACTGTGGAGGAAGCAGGGTTAGCATTTCGCTGACCTTTGCGCTACACCCCTGCACTTAGCAATAGTCCTGACTCTGAGTTACTCTGCAGTCACATTTGAGGGAAGGGTTCTACAAGGTCCAGTCCTGCTTCCACTACGGTTAATGTGGCGGTCACCCACTAAGGGCAGCATCGTCTTTTCTGTCTGTGAAGGGAGTTGCTCTTCAAAAGTTAGTGCAATGGGGTCCTCATCCTGGGATGAATATTTATCGATAAGGAATGTAGTGCAAAAGTATAAAAGATATGCTATCAATTATTGTATGTCATACAGTGTTGCTGACAAGAAAGCTGTCTCAGTTGATATGTACTTACAATGTAGAAAGTGTATTGCTAGTAATGAACCCCAGCCCCTAATTTAACGGAGAAATGTGCAGAAAGTTGAGGGAAAGTGATAGGGTTTTAGTAAAATCTGAATGTTATAGATTAAGAGAGTTATGAAATAAACTGTTTTCCTTGGAAGCATTTTATTTTCAACCAATCTCCAACTTCACCAGACTGCTCTGTCTTTCCTTGGCCTATAGATATTGGCAGACATTGTAGATATTTGAAACAAAGAGGCTGAGAGCCCAGATGCTTGCGAGGAGGGGAACAGTTTTACAATTCTTGTGCAATGGCTGAACAGCTGTGAGAAAATAAAAGAAAAAAAAAAAAGTCTTAGCAGTGTAAACCTCACACTTTATTGATTTAACACCACTATCGCCAACCAAGGAAAAMCCCTACCGGAAGTTAGCCCAAACCACCGTGATGGGTATTTTGGGGTCAGAACTTCTCAACTGCTCCTTCTGGCTGGTGTCGTCAGGCCTTGTTAAAGGAGGGGCTGAACTTCATTTTTAAGTCAACTCTGCATCCATTAGGAGCCATTGAACCTCGTGTTCTAGTGGGGCATTTCTGCTTGTACCTGCTAGAAAGTGTTTTGCCAAAGCCCTGGAAATCAGATCAGGAGGGAGTTTTGCAGGCAATGAAATACCCACAGTAGTAAGTTGCATTCCCTCCATTTTCCAGTTTCTGCTTCTCTTTAGTGTAAAGTGTATATTGGGAAAGGTGGCATTCGAACTAAATTGCAACAATTTGATTTTCTAATTGTTCTAAAGTTGACTGATGTGATGGGGAGCCATTTCTTACTAGCAGCATTTTTAAAAGTTGGTATCAGAAGTCAATGGCTATAAAGTAGGTCTGTGAAATGGAAAATTGTAATATTAAAAAAGATACATTGTCTTTGAGTGTGTTGAAACCATAGAAGACAACATAACTTTGTGAATTTTTGTAGTCAGGATATATCTGAATTATGTTTAATATGTTTAATGTCTAGTTCTTTCTCCCCTCCCACTTATAAATCTATTCTCTGCCTACCCCTTCTCCTGCAGACTCTCATTAATGTGCTGCTGAATTAATACATTTCAAATCAATTAAAAAAAGTCTTTTCGAAAAAGTGCAAATGGAAAGTACAATCCTCAAAGCATCTGTTTAACCATACAGGTCTTTATATTTAAAATATAAAATTACAATATTTAGTTTTACATAGAATTTTACAAAAAGTCAATCTGATAAAGTGCAAGTAAAAAAACAAGTCATGTAAATATATCTTTTCTCTGAAAAACTTTCACCACATGTTTGCAAACACAACTGATGAAGAACAAAATATTTACAGTTCAGCAGTCCGTTATGTGCAAGTTGTTTGATGCTGGTTCTTGCAACTGAAGAACCTTATGCTAGTGTCTCATCTCTCMAGTTCTGCCTCCAGGATTTCTCCCCAGGTGTCAGCATCCATGGGATACATGCTTTTCTCTGGCAAGCTGCTGCGAGAATGAACGTGACTGTATTTTCCGCTCAGCCATTCTTGCTTCACTTTGCTCTTCCAATAGTTTCGCAGCAACGTGATCTGATGAAAGAACAAGAGAGCTAAAATCCTGAAATGGATTTAGGCTGYATTCCATACAAATGCCATGCTCTGGAAACTGGGAGAACTGAGAGGTAATGCCAGGACAAAAAAAAAAAAGAAGGGATATGGAATGTGGCTATCCCTATCTTAAGGCCATAAGGGTCCTTCCATGTTTTTTTTAATATTTTTTTTTCTTTAAGATAGATTGAGAATAATTTCTTGTCTCAGTTCTTAAAGGGCATGATGATGGGGAAACCAATGCCCAAACAGGAATTCATCCTCCCATACCTTTAAAAAGAAAAGCCTTTTGCTTTCTCTTTCCCCCTGTTGTGGATGTTGTGGGCATCTGCTTTCGGCTGTTGTTCTTAAGGGCTCTCTGTGGGCTTGGAATGCAAGCTGGCTGAATGGTTTACTCAGCCAGATGTTTAGTGCAAGCCTATGCTGACCCTGTGTATTTACTGCTTCTACTTGGAATCCCTCTTCAAAACAGATGGCCAGTGCATCAGAATTTAGAGAAAAAGCCTTATACTTGGTAGCATGTCCAAATCTCAGAGCAGTGGTGCTGCTGTTTCTGATGAGGGCAACAACTCCCTTGCCCAAGGCTCTGCCTCTTACCAAAACACTTCTCCTGAAAGGTGGGACTCTAGAAATGATTAAATGATTTGTTTGTTTTGCTTTTTTTTTTTTTTTTTGCTTCCCCCACTCCTGCCCTGCTTTGAGATGCACCATCTAAAAGGAGGAACAGCTCTTCCCCCTGCTAGTTCAGAGGGGGGCCTGAACTAATTGCTTTCCTGCTTCAATTTGCAGGCTGGACTCGGTGATGGATCCAGCAGCATGTTCAGCTCCTCGTGCAGAGCAGCTGTAACAGCGAGTGTCTGTGGAGGGGAAGGAGGGGAGAGGTCCAACAGCTTCTCTCTCTCTTCTTGTAGCTCCTTGTATTTCCTTTTCCCCACCCCGGTGGGGTGGGTGGGGAAAGCCACCCCTTCGAGTGGCTGCGTGTGGCTTGGCGTGTGCTGAAGTCGAGCCAGCTAGAGTGAAGATTCAGCCACTCATCCTTTCCAAGCAGAATTATTGCAGTGAAATGCTGATAGAGAACTAACTAGTGGGGTATGTTTCCCTCTCCTGCCTGCATATTAGAACATGGACTTTCTTCTGTAGTAGGGCTGTTCAACCTTTCTGATGTGGTAAGACCCCAGTTTGGAAGGTGGACAGACCAGCTTGGCTGTTCTCCTGGGCTGGATCCCTCTGATAGGTTGAGAACTAAACAGAAGTTGCCAGGCAGCCAAATGTGGTTTTGGGTAGGCAACAGGACAGCCTTACACTTACTTCTTTGCATATTTAACCAGTTGTTCAATTTCCCTAGTGAGCCACACTGATTATAGTGGTTCTCCAAACACTTCTCACCAATCTTGAGTCGATTTATTTATATATATATATATATATATCTATTATTAACCCCCCAAGCTGTTTGATTGCCAACACTGTTGTTCACATCAAATTTACCTTCCAGGAGTATCCATTTCGTCGATCGTAATCAATCTCTCGTTGACAGATGGCTCTTACAGTTAAGCAATGATGTCTCCACAAGCAGTCGTTGTTCTCAATAGCATGATTCCAGCTCCTGCACGTCATTGCTGCGTTGCACAGGCTCTGCAGGTCGAGTTCACCGAAGATTTGGAAGCAGACTTCTGGGGGCAGGAGTGCTACAAAGTCATCAGCACTTTCTCTTTTCTTCTTGTCCGCAGGAAGGGCTGCTGGTTCCTCATGAGAAGCAACTGCCTGCTTGTTCCTCTTGGGTGTTTTCTGCATCATTTTCAGTTCTTATTAAATCAGTAAGCCTGAGTGAGGGAAAGTTTAGCAAAGCAATTAATGAAYGTCCCTTCCCCTCCTATTGCAGCTGCCTAAAAATGGAGTTAATGATATTGTCTTRGTGATGGTGTCATGAGCTGGTCACCTGCGGCAGCAGGGCTAGGCACCCGGGGGCTGTAAGTGCAAACGCAATGAGTGCTTTGCCCTTTTGGAATGTTCTTTTTAGTAACTGTTTGCCCCGACTACACCCTTTGGCCCATTACACTATTTCTCTTTTTTTTTTTTTTTTTTTTTTTTCCCCTTTTGGAACAGGCTTCCCAAGGAGGCTGTGGAGTCTCCCTCCTCGGAGATCTTCAAACCGGGCGACCGGGCTCCGGCAGGGTGTCCCTGCTGGAGCCGGGTTGGATTGGATGGTGTGCCGAGGTCCCTTCCGCGATTCCAGGGCAGCCCGGGGAGCCCTCCGCGAGGGGAAGGGCCGCTGCCCGTTGGGGCCGCGCCTACCTGTCCGCTTGTTTGTAACCACCGGCGCCGCGTGCTGTTGACATGCCGAGACTGCGCTGTGCGCATGAGCAGCCGGGCTGCGGCAACGCAGMGGCCGCCGTGGCACGCGGCATGCTGGGACTTGTAGTCCTTCGGKTTGGAAGGGTGGCAGGGCGGGTGTMGGGGCGGCAGCGCCGCGAGACTACAACTTCCGGGAGGCAGGGCGCGGGGGCGGGGCGCTCGGGGGATTTAAACGCCAACGACGACCGTTGGAGATGCGTGTGCGAAGGGGCGGGGTGGGGTGTCCGTCATGGCGGGAGTGCGGCTCGCCCCGGCCGACGGGGGCTGCCCCGTGGCGCTGCCGCCCGGGGAGAGCGTGCTCGGGAGGGGACCCCTGCTCGGGGTAAGTGCGGGGCTCCGCGTGGGCCCCGGCTGGCCCCGAGAGCCGCGCCGCGCTGCCCCGCTGCGGTTTCTTTCCTGTGGGTTTAGGCGTCGCGAGGAATGGGCACGACATTTTCAGAAGGAGGCGGGGACGGTTTTGCCGGTAGAAGGCTCGCTTGCCAGCGCTGGGGAGGGGAGACCTTCCTTTGCTCGGTTACGTGCCCAGCTGTTAGTGAAGGGCCCCCCCGAAGTCCTCTACCTGTGTTTTTTCCCAAAATACGGAAACAAACCCTGCGTGACTGCTGACTGGTGTCGCAGGCTGCTGCCCGCACCTCTCCAGGGGTTGCTCCACAAAGACCCTGCCGATTAACGGCCAGCACCGGGTACAGGGAAACCTGCTGTGAGGGCCGACTGTCCAGCCCTGGAAGGGCAGCCCTGTGGGAAAGAGCTGCAAGTAGGTCGGAGAGGCTTTAAGGCTATTTATTGCAGTATAAATAATACAGGCAGTCGAATATGCATTCTTTTCTCCTACTTTAGCTGGAAAGGTGGTTTCTTTCCAGCTAATAAAGTCAGTTATTTCTGCAGCCCTACCCAAAAGTCTCGTGGGTTTTGGCAAGTAAGAATCCAATAAATCTGGGGATAAGGGTAGTGGGATGTGATGGATTCAGGTAAAATGCGGTAAATATCTCGGGTGTCACACCAAAATACTAAAACAAATGAAATTCCATTTTTTTGTGTGCTTGTTAGTGTTATACTTGTGCTTAGCTTGATGTCTGGAAAAAAAAAAAGATTCAGGTTATAACAAAGTGATTGAAAAAGAGAAGAAGAAAAATTCCTCTACTATGGATAGTATGGGAATTTTGGAAAATATGCAAATATGGAAAATTCCTCTACTAGGATAACTAGTCTACTATGTTATCCTGAGAATGTGAGGGTAAGAGTGTTTTTGCAGCAAATTGCCTGAAACGTATCCCCTGTTAAAACAGTTACATCTGGCAGGTTGAAAACCCTGATGTAAAAGGAATCTACATTGACTTTGAGGTGATACAGTTTTGACAGCAGCTGCATCTTCCTTCCAGATTACAGATAAGCGAGTATCCAGAAAACATGCCCTCTTGGAAGTGGAGGGTGGCCGGGTTCGCATCAAACCGGTAACGTCATTCTCATTTTGATTTTGCCTCTAAGTGCCATGATGGCTTTCAGAGGTTCCTCTGGTGCTACGCTTTGCTCAAGGGTAGCATCCAATTTACCTTTGTTTGCTTTTATGTGATCTTTTACCCAGTCTTGGTATTGTTTCTCTTTTGTCTTCAGATAATATCTTAACTTTTTCATGTGTAAGAGCAGGAGAGTTAAAAGAAAAATAAAACATTGTTGAGATTTTAATTATTGCCCTATTTTCCTACTTAACTTTTTAAGACAGGGATCTGTTCTCGATACTGATCCTCTTCCTCTGCTTTAGAAATAAATCTCTGAATTTAACACTTTTCAAATAAAGAATATATTCTGCTATTTGCAAATAATTTCAGATGTTGCTATAGAGGAGTGTTTTAAACTTAACTACATATTTGTATATTTATTTTTAGTCTCAGTTACATAAAAATCATTCCATCTCTTCCTTCTGTCTTACAGATTCATGTAAATCCATGCTTTTATCAGTCCCCTGAAAACGGCCAACTTCTACCACTGGAGGCACATCAATGGCACCCGCTGAAATTCGGAGACACCTTTTCCCTGTTGGTGGACAAATACATTTTCAAGGTCCTTTCTGCTCATACTGTAGAGAGCACAATAAGGTATTGATACTTGTGAGAAACTGCTTTTTTCACTATCAGCTTATTCCACCTTTTTTGAGGTGTAAGTCTTAAATGGGAATAAATTGATGAATCTGCTCACCATTAAGTAGTATGCTCACTTGAGGATTAAATGATGATGCCCAGAGAGTGTGAAGTGTAGGACATGTTTATGACTCAGGTGCTCAGGAGTAGTCAGCATGGATTCACCAAGGGAAAATCATGCTGGACTAACCTGATAGCCTTCTGTGATAGAATGACTACCTGGATAGATGACATCCAGTGCTCTCCCCTCRTCTATCTGGACTCCAGCCAGGCTTTTGATACTGTCCCTCACAGCATCCTCCTGGGCAAGCTCTGGAGGTGTGGGATGGATGGGTTGATGGTGAGGTGGATTGAGAACTGGCTGCATGGCAGAGCTCAGAGGGTGGTGATCAGTGGTGCAGAGTCCAGTTGGAGGCCTGTAGTTAGCGGTGTCCACCAGGGGTCAGTCCTTGGTCCAGTCCTGTTCAATTTACTCATCAACAACCTGGACGAAGGGCTGGAGTGCTCCCTCAGCAAGTTTGCTGATGATACGAAACTGGGAGGAGTAGCTGATAGCCCTGAGGGCTGTACCACCATCCAGAGGGACCTGGACAGACAGGACAAGTGGGTGGGGAGAAACCTCAGGAAGTTCAACAAGGGCAAGTGCAAGGTCCTGCACTTGGGGAGGAAGAACCCCAGCCACCAGTACAGGCTGGGGACTGACCTGTTGGAGAGCAGCCCTGTAGAGAGGGACCTGGGCATCGTGGTGCATGACAAGGTGAGGCAGCAGTGTGCCCCGGTGGCCAAGAAGGCCAABRGGATCGATCCAGGGGTGCCTCAAGAAGAGTGTCTCCAGCAGGTCGAGAGGTGATCAGCCTGTTCTACTGGGCTCTGGTGAGGCCACGTCTGGAGACTGTGTCTAGTTCTGGGCTCCCCAGCACAAGAGGGAGGTGGAGCTGCTGGAGAGAGTCCAGCGCAGGGCTACGAGGATGATGAGGGGCCTGGAACATCTGCCCTGTGAGCAAAGGCTGGAGAGCTGGGCCTGTGCAGCCTGAGGAAGAGAAGGCTGAATGGGGACCCAATCAGTGTGTATAAATACCTCGAGGGAGGGAGGGAGGAGGCTGGGGCAGCCTCTTTTCAGTGGTGGCCACTGATAGGACTAGAGGAAACAGCCACAAACTGAAGCACTGAAAGTTCCGCAGGAACTTAAGGAAACATTTCTTGACAGTGAGGGTGCCAGAGCCCTGGAACAGGCTGCCCAGAGAGGCTGTGGAGTCTCCTTCTCTGGAGGTCTTCAAAACGCCCTTGGACGCAGCCTGTGCCACATGCTTTAGGTGACCCTGCGTGTACAGGGGGCTTGGACTAGATGATCTCTAAAGGTCCCTTCCAACCTTAAGCATTCTATGATTCTATGACAAGTGGTCTTGGTTCTGGAAATGTGGTGATCAAGCGTGTTTATTTACAGTGACCTTCCATTCACCTATGGACTTAAATGTTAATATATTAATGCAGCACTTTCATCTTGGAAAATCTGATAACATTACAGGATAACATACCATCGTGAAAACAGCAGTGCTTGATATTATTTTAAAATAGATTGTTTTTCTTCATAGTAACTATGTTTCTGCTCTAGTATTGTGTTTTGTTTGTGTAATCACAATAGTCCTCATTTTCTGTTATGTCAATTTCAATTTATGTTAATTGCTGTCCTGGGTGAAAGACAACTCGTAAGTACCCCTGTCACAGACAAGTGACCTGTGTGGTCATCTCCATATCCATATTATGTCATTCACAGTGTGATTCTGCAGTAACTAAAATTGACATTTCTGGCATTTCGTCGTAGTGTTTATGTTTGTGGATACTAAATAGTTTCTAACATATGGAGAGAAAAGAGAAATAATGCTAGAAGTGGAAGTYTTTTTCTTATTTTAAAATTTGTCATATGTTTGGTGTATATAATTTAATACTGAATAAAAAAAAAAAGGCTAGCCTTTCAATAAAGGGGACATTGTTTAATTTTAGGGTAAAATAGTTTGCAGTATGCTAATCTATGATCTTATATGGTATTACAAGTTTGCATAGTATAATCTATGTATGCTCATGCTAATCTAAAATGCAGTGTGAAAATTATGTCAAAGGTAAATGCAAGTGTTTAGGTCTGTTGACTCCAGACTACCCTTGACTAGTGAATTGAAAGGTCAAAGCGAAAAGATTGTGCCTAAAATTTGTGCACACATTTGTGTGCTATTTCATGTGTGTGTATAAAATAAATTATTTATGAGGGATTAATATTATAAAAACCTGAAAAACTAGTGTCCAGTAAGGCAAATTCTAAGCTGTAATTTCAACTTTCACGAATGTTACTGTGGTAGCGACTATTATAATTTATGTACTTAAAGAGAAAATAATAAACCATACCCTGTTGGTGGTCAGCAATGATTGGAAGAAGTTTTGGTTCAACATCTCTCAACCAAAGATATGTTTATGTTTTCTTCAAGTTTATTTATTAGTTTGGTACATTCAGTTTAGAAGTGCATTAATGGCAAAAATTCAGATATGTTTTTATGCTTGAGTGAAAATACATGTTCATGATGTGTTTACTTTGACAGAAAAAATCAGGAGACTAATGCAGAAGAAACACCAAGCATTCACCCCATTAAAATGTCTTGTAGTCCATCTTTAATAGAACCATCATGTTCCAGTTCTAAGATGCAGGAAAACACAAAAATAAGAAGAAACAAGATTACTTCCAGACATTTGGTGAGTGCTTAATCATTTCGTTGAATGATAATATCTGTTAAACTTCTTTTTTTTTTTTTCTCATGAAGTAAGCTTTGACAAACTCCTTTGCTCAAAATACTGTGTTTTTATAGATTGAATTGTATTTTGTATGTATACTTCTATGTGTTATACTTACATTTATAATTTTAGTTACTGGATCTTTGGAATATGTGAAAATCGCTGTGGCTGTGGGGATATTCTGAACTAACTGTGCTATGGATGAGTTTGGCAGTACAAAGCAACATTGATTTTTGGTTTCTGATGTGAATCAGGAGCTATCCTGTAAATGTCTGTGAAGGCCTAGAGGAATTAATGTTTTTTCTTTCAGTCAGTCTAAAACCCTCTGAAACTTTTGTTTGGAGTTATTGCAGCTAGACCGCAGATGTCTTTTGCTGGCTTTAAGTAATATCTGTTTGTACCATACTAGCAAACTCTTAATTTGTACAGCTGTAATGGTTGTGTTGTCAAGATCCATAAGAAAACAAATACATAACCCTAAATAACCTTACAGTTTTTCCCTGGCAGCCAGCATCCTATCCAGCCAGACAGTTTTCAAAGCAAGTGGTTTTGGTTCTCTTTTTCTTGCTAATTAAAACAACCATTTTTCTTCAGGTAGTCTGATAACTAGTATTTGGAGCAAGGGGATTTCTTTTTATCTTCTGCTGTGTTTCCACTAATATAGGACTAGAAAGTATATGCTGGGCTGTGTGATTCGACTGTACATGATGTCTAAATACAAAAAGTGAAATGCGACCCTTTACTATAGCTGAAATCTTTACCACTTGGATAATATTGTCCCTTTGATTCTCTCAGTAAATAAGCATGTCCTCAACATGAGTTTGATTTTTATTTTATTTTTCAGACAAGATTTAGAGAGTAGTTTCTTAATAAGATATTTGAAAGAATGCTGGCAAAACTTTTCTGCTACTTTGACAAATAGGCATTTGTTGATGTTACAGAGATAGCAAAAGTTCAAGTTTATGTGCAAACTGTATAGCAAAATATTGACGGAACTGTTGTGTGCTTTAGACTGTAGCCTCTTCTGTATTTACTCCAAAGAAATAAGCAGTTCTGTGTAGAATGAAGATGTCTATAAATGTTTTTTCCTATGTGAGTAGGAAGATGAAGATATTCAGTTAATTGACACTGCCTTGACAGAAATGTGTTTGAAGGACTGTGTGCAAACTCATGTGATAGTTTTTGTTTTTTAACTCTTTTATGGAGATAGGTACTAAATGGTAAATGTCATTTCAGGTGTTGCCTCCTGATGATCATGAACAGTTAAAATCTCTTCAAAGAAAGAGAGTGCTTCCATCTTGGATGCTGGAGGAAGACGTCATGGTTCAGAGGCTTTCTGACCCCATAATAAAAGAAGGTAGGGAGAGAAGGAATGCATTTCAGATTTGGTCTCCTTTTCTGAAATTATACTTGTGGTGGTAGAAAGTGTTAATTTATTACTTCCCTTCCACACTTTGAACCTAACAGGTGACATGATTTGACTTCTGTTGTCTCCTTTGTCATCAATCATGTGGATATTAGTTGATTCTTCCTTCTGTTTTATTTATTTATTTTAGTGCCAGCTATTGCTCTTTTTGGACTGCTGAACATCTGATTTTCTTCACCTCTTTCCTATAAACTCACTGTTTTGTTCAGGAATTAAAATCTAGGTAGTTTCTGCTATGTTTAATACTCACCCTTTTAAATTAGGGTCTCTCAATTTCACAGGTGTCAGAGGTGTTTATGCAGAAGGCATTGGGGGGGGTGTGCACACTTTAAACGGTAACTGAATCCTATTGGATCACTGTTCCAAAGCTTCTAGGAGCAGTACGTTGTGCTTTCGGGTTTGTTTGGGGTGTGTGCGGGGTTCCTTTTTTCCTTTTCCTTTTCCTTTTCCTTTTCCTTTTCCTTTTCCTTTTCCTTTTCCTTTTCCTTTTCCTTTTCCTTTTCCTTTTCCTTTTCCTTTTCCTTTGAGACTAAAATTGCCACCCTTGTCACAAAAGGAATTTGTTGAGTGTATGATAAACCTCTCCAGCTCTGTATCAGTAGTAGCAGCAGCAGAATATTGTGCCTAGTCTGTGTCGGGGAGGGACAAAGATGCCACTGACACAACCAAGAATATTGTCTAGTATGTCCAGCTTTGTTTGTGAGAGCTTGTAACATAATGTTGCCAGTCTTAGACGTTCTTTGACAATTTTATCACAAGATACTTTGGCTCTAATGAGCGTTACTGGTGGAAGAGGAGGAGTTAAGAAATAGGAGGAGGAGAAAAAGCTAAAAGAGAAGGGGGGGAGAGAGACAGTTTTTTTTTTTTTTTTTTTTACCTCTGTGTTTCCTTAGGACAGCACTCTCCACTGCCATTCTCATTCTGGTCATAACTATTGTCTTCCCAAGGTGTTTCTAGACCCAAGTTTCTCTGTTTTCTTGCTAAGGTATTGGTACGTGAAGATACCTGGTTCTGTTCCTACCCCATCTCTTAGGTGGGTCATTTAGAGGCAATTGACTAGTTATATGACATACTCAGCTATTGCTATTAATTCTAGTTGGACTGGCTAAGAATATGAAAAGGAAGTTGTTTTGCTCGTGTGGTTCTTTATCTGAGTATTGGCTTATTTTATATTCTAAACTAAATGTGGTACATAACTCTTCTAATCTTCCAGCTTCCTCCTCTTCCCTATTCTCTTTCTTGTCCTTTTTCCCCCTTATGTTAGAGTGGTTGTAAGACATTAGTTGTAACTTTTATCTGAACTTTGATTGTCTTTCCTAGGCAAACAGTCAATGTCATTTATCACAAAATGAAAAGCAGTTCCTGCTTCAGCCCTTTCCTTCCATCAGCCTGGACTACAGGTTGCAAAAGAAGCATTTTATTGATTTCCTGTCCTTGAAAGGAGGATACGGCCACCAAAGTAGGGTTAAGGATCTGACTGAATGCTTTTGCTTGCAGTATTGTTACAGATTGATATAATTTGTGTGTCTGCACAAATGTAGCTCTCTTCCATGGTTGGGAATACTGAAATCTCTCCAAGATATCACGTAAAGAACAAGGAGATCTAAATCTGACAGTCAAATAAATTCTTTCTCGAAGCTTCAGGTCTACGGCTGAAGGAGTGGCATTTTCTGCCAGCTGTCGATGTGCTCCACTGTCACATTCTCTGAGCTGTGACAAGTTACATAGACTGATTCATTCTTTTACTCACTTCAGAGCATCCTTCAGGCCTAGCTGTTCTGGCTTCTGAAGGAAAGATCCCTTGTTGCTACAGAGATGAACCTTGTATGGCTTTCTTACCTCTGTGTTTTATTATGGATGGGAGGATGACAGTCCTTGGTTCTGCTCTGTGGTCTTCAGCATAAACAGAGAATTCACAGGCGAGTTAAGATAGAGCCAAACTCTTGATTCCAAACTTCTTCCCACTGATCTTTCCTCATGGGAAGAAAAAGAGGAGAGAGAAGAGCAGAGGAGCTGTGGAACGATTCACCTGTCCTTCTGGTCTTAGGACGAGGCATATCTGAGGCACATCCATCAGCTGGCAGTATTTTTCTGATTAAAGTAAGAAAAAAAAATGAAGCAACTCAATATCTTTATTACTGTTTCTTCACTGTTGCAATCCATTGTTACAGTAACCTATATCATTTTGCTGGTTGCAAATGTAATAAGCTGAGGAGTCTCACACTTGACAATGAAAGACAATTTTAAAGGAAATTATCTTTTATTTCTTCTTTTATTACTTTAGTCATCTACTTTACCTGGGAGGATAAAAGCCTCTAGATTTGTCCTTTGAGATGATGTTACTTACTAGATACTTCCTGTGAACGCTGACAAACTGTTGCTGTCGGGTTTTTTGTTTTATTGTACTTGGAGTGATTGTTCTGTTTTATTGTACTTGGGGTGATTAATGCAGTGCTTTTATTGGCAGAGCTGATAACCTCTCAGCCACGTGTTAGGGCCTCGATAACTTAGTGCGTTTGTTGCAGTAGGGTGAAGTTGTTAGCTTGAGCACAGAACGGCTGTGGGCATCTCCGGAATGTGTGTGACCAGGTTGCCGCTCAGCCGCTGCCCCGCTCACCAGGACTGGGTCTCTTCCTTACGGCCGTGCTTGGTGCAGCTGCTGTCCCGCTGGGCTTTGCATTCGGTGCCTGTTGCTGTGGGCTTTGCATCAGTGCTGCCTGTGGGAGTTAATGCTCGTGGCTGTCTATGGGCAGGTATAAAGCAGGTGTAAAGTGGTGAGGTGCTAAGTGGTGCATTTCCTTCACTGTCAATCTACATGTAAGATTTCAGCATTGTGGCTGGTGCGTGTATGTGTGCGTGTTTGCCCATGAAACCTCTGTTTCTATCTGCGACTTCTACTGAGATGCAGTCCTGGAAACTTCAGCTCTTAAGACCTGATCAGACCCATGGGAGCCTTTATAGAGTTTGAGCAATTCCTTCTTATTTTCTGAAGCAAATGTAGGGATCTGGGGGGATCTGGATCATTTTAATGTGGATTATGTGTCTCAAAACACCTCTGTCATGTGCCATTGGCTGTCTTCTCTACCTTTGTAGAGAAAGAGAAACTTTTTTTTCACCCCTTTCCAAACATAGATTATTTCTCTTTAGTGTTGTCCCTTAGCTGCCTATACCTGGGAACTGGTGCTAGCCATGGTTAGTTTGTGGGTGGTATTATTTTCCTTCCCTTTTCCTGTTTGACTTTCCATCGATTTGTTTTGAGGTCTGACATTAAAATGTGGAAAAAATCTTTGCTTCCCTTAAGTGTCTTTGCAATGTCTATATTTTTTGAAGTGAAATAGTGTAGTTTTTGAAGCTGTATTATATAGCAGCATTTTCCTTAGGAATGCATTTTGCAGCAGATGGAGGCATAAAAAAAAAAAARAAGAAGAGACAATTGTCCTACTTTTCTCCAGTCTGTACTTTTCTCCATATTTCTGTCAGTTATTGGATGGTTACATGGACAAGTCTGATAGACAAGTAGATATACTCTGGTTCTGTTTCATAAATTACATATGTGTGTATAAACCAGTAGTCCTAAGTAATAGTTATATAAGTTTGTATCAGAAAAAGCATTATTGAATATTTCATTTGCTTGATCAATTACTGTTCTCTACTTGATAATTTATCAAATCATGCTATGGTCGGTCTAAAATATCCTTTGCTGCATACCTTTTTCTTCCTAAAAASCTTCTCAAATGTGTGTCAGCCTAAAATACACATTTGTAACGCTCATGAAGAGAGCCTGGTTGGCAGCAGAGGAAGTGAAAAATATTCTACTGAAACAGTATGTGGACAGCTACTGCCATCTCTCAGATCTGTTGCTCAGTGTTCTTCTTAGGGAATTTTTTCACCTATTCCTGTAGTTTTTGTAAGTTTTAGAGTTCTTTGTGATTAGTGTTTCRTGGTAAAAGTTGTATTCTGAAAGTACCCGTTCACTTTTCTTGTAAGGTGGTGGAATGAAAAGAGACCAAGGAGAGGGAGGAAGTAATACAGAATCCTTAAAAACAGAAATAAATGTGGAGAAGAGAAAAAGATTGACTTCTGAAGAAATTACAGAGACTTGTAAAGATGAAGAGCAATATCAAGGGAAAAAGGGCTGCCTTTCCAGCACTGTCCTTTCCTCTCAGGTAATTGTTTTTGCTTATGGCAGAACTGTGTCATATCAAGAAATATGAATTTAGTTGTCCATGCCGTAGTTTAAGGTTGGATCTGCGCTCTAGCTGTGTGATCTCTGAGTAAACTGTTAAGTTGGAGTGGAGGTTTGGAAATGCCAGCTTGCTTGAGCAGCTCTTCCAGCATCCTTGTGCAGGCTTCAGTGTTGGTGGCAGTCTTCTGTACGTCCTGCATGGGACCTGGAATTTAAGCCCTGAATGCCCTGCAGGACGTTGCTTTTGTTTTACAGCAAGTGATGAGGAACGGCTTCATGTTGGTTGTTTCTCCTGAGAGCCTTTTCTATGGAGAGATGATGGTATGAAGCTGATGTAATGTAAGTGGATTTGACCCAGCCTTGCAGCTTTCTAGCTGGTTAGGTTTTATGATTGTGGAGTTACAGYGTGTGGCTTAGCAATTCCTGTGCCAGCAATTAGCAATTCCTTAGCAATTTCTGTTCTGAAGAAAGGTAGCAGGGCATGTGGAGCTGCTGGGAGCGAGCCGGCCTTGCAGCTGAATGCTTGTAGTCCTAAAGAGGAGGTTTTGCYAAACCTTTTTGGGGAAACGCAGGTAACAGAGTCTTCTCTAGTAAATCAATTYGGAAATAAATATGTGGTGTCCAGATCATTCAGTATTAATGCTGAACTTGCCTTTTCCTAATCACCTTGCTACTCCAGTATGYTTGTCCTTGGTTTTGATTAACATTCTGTTAATCTTATGTTTAAAAGAGCAAAATCAAATAGAAAATCACGATTTTCAGACTTTTACAAAATAATTCAATGTAAACTGAAGATAAACATAGCGAGGAAGGGGAACCTTTGCATAACGAATAACAGAGTAAAGACGTTGAACTGTTCTGCAGTAAATCAAAATAGTTCAGCCTTTAATATTTGTATATTTTCAGATAGTGTCTTGGCCATCAGTATAATGCATTTGTTTTGACTGTATTACCACATGCTGTTTTTCTAAGAAACATGTGTGTCTTTCATCTCAATTGTGCATATATCCCCAAATGCAGGATTTGTCAAAAGTGAAGTCCTTGCATGACCGTATCTCCTGACGAACAGTTTTATGATCTAGACAGAGCTCTGAGCTAAAGCGTTTAGGTGCATGAGAGGTAGGGTTAAGTTCACATTATATGTATGCTGATTCTATTGTCTCCCATATATACAAGTACCTAAGGGACTAAAATTGATATATTTATATATTTTTACAGGAGTACACATTCTTCTGGAGTCTACCATATTCTCACGTGTATAGCCCTCATTTTTTAGAAGTATTTTCAAAGAAGTTCTCAGATTATTCACAAACTGTGGTGGTGGGGTGGGAGAGGAGCCTATGTATGTTGTGAGGGAACAAAGTCAGAGGAGGTTGAGTAGAAATTTTCATGTGCGTATTTTAACTTAAACCTTTCATTCAGTATCTGTATTCATTCAACATCTGATTTATGAAAAGCAGAGAACGTGATTTCCTAAACTGGAGAGACTCATGCAAAGCAACAGAATTTGACCTTAATACTTTTAATTCTGAAGACTACAAATTTTCAGGTCCTTCAAAATGTAACCTTGTTCCACAGAATACATCTGAATTTCCTCTTGAGAGAACCATGAGAAACTTGGAAAGAAATGGCAAGACTGACACAAGAAACCATGGAAGTTCTGTGGAAAAAGATGATAGGCRGATGGTTTATAAAAGATCTAAAGCCACAGGTGAGATCTCCAGTAAAAGAAGTAGAATTGAGAAAATGGAAAAGAAAGAACAGATTACAGGTTCTGCAAGCCAGCATGCTCCCTGGGGCAGAACTTCTCCGTGCTATGGTGCTGAGGAAGGGACTCATGAGTCTGATGCAAATTGGGATTACAAGCCTGAAATTTCTAGTTCACCCAGAAGTATTGATGCTTCAGAGCGCTCCAAACACATCAAGCATAAGAGGACCCCTTGCATGTATGGAACAGACTGTTACAGGTAAAACAAAATTAAAACTAGCTTAATCTAGCATATTATTAAGAAATAATTTATTAGCACATCAAAGAAGAAATGGGAAATTCATTACATTTTCTTAAACTAAAAAAAAATATTTTGGTAAGTAGAAGACTGATAAGAAAGAAATGGCATAAGAAAAGTTTTTAAAGTACAAAAGGAAGAAGCAGGAGGTCTTGCTACCTGCTAATATAACCTAAACAAAAGAAAAAAAGCAAAGTGGGGGGGAAAAAAAAGGTCAGTTAAAAAGCAAAGAAATCAACAAACCTGTTTGTAGCAGCCAAGTACAGATGCCAGTAAGGAGAAAGATGTAATTGGCTGGAATGTCCAATGTAGATGCTCTGGGATTGATTTATTAGCCAATTAGCTTTTTTTAATGTATATTTACTGAAGTAATCACTTGCTTTGTGAACAGAATATTTTAAGTATTTAACTTGGCCAATCTGTTTTTTTTTTTTTCTGATTTAATATACTTGCCCTCTGCAAAAGAATAGAACAGGGCAAACTCTGTGTTGGTTTCTGATCTTGTTTGCTTCCTTGGACGTATTTCAAGTGCTGCGACTGCCTGCCCTAAGCCTCTCTCAGTTCACCAYGAGAGTGCTGGCATCCAATTCCTTGAGTTTCAAAGTGCCAGCAGCTGGTCTCTGTTTTCCTGCTAGCCCTTCCTGGGCAGAAGGGATCTAGGGTGCTACATTAATATTGGAAAGGGGAGGAAGCTTCCAGACAGTCTCCAGGTTTCTAGAAAATTGCCAATGACCTGAGAATTTCAATCTATGTCAGTATACTGATAGATTCCAAAGGCAAATTTTCGTTACAGGTGAATATGGACTAGAAGTGCGTAGCTTGCGTCTGGATTACCTTAGGATGGGAAGCTGCTAACTGTAGCCAAGTTGTATTTTGTGACAGAGCAAGTTCTGCAGTATAGTGTAAGGCATTAGGGTACATTGGATTGATATCATTGTAGGTAAAAGAGAATGGAATATTTAATTAAAATCTCAACCTTATTTCTCTGACAAGGTAATAAGTTTTCATTGTGTCTCAGTGATTCAGGAGTGAGAGTTTTCAAGGAAAACTAAGGTGTGACTTTATAGAAAAGCAGTGAATGTATGAATGGGCTCTACCTTGATTATACTCGGAGTAATTTGATAACCCATAAGAATTTTTAGTCTATATAACAAATAATTAACTTTAGTTATTGACTTACTTGGTGATTTTTACTAAACTTAGAATTAATCGCGATGAAATTTTAAACTTTTCAGGAAAGGACTTCTGGTTGTAAGGAACACATATTTTGTTATCAGTGTTCTGTATGAGCATATCTGTTCTTAGATTGTTATTCTAAAGCAGATTTCTGGCTGCAATAGTTGCAGAAGTATTGCCTTGTAAGAGAAGAATGCTGTGAAATAATGCATAGCAGAGAATCTTATTCCATGGAGAAGCTGGTAAATGTGAAGCATCAAAAGTGCTCGCTTTAAGCTTYGAATGTTCAGATTTTGCTTTTAATGTATAAGCACTAGCAGTTTTTCTGCATCTCTGGGATGACATCATCAGAGTAAAGCAAATCAGTTACTCCTTTGTTCAATAGACCATAGGCATGACGTGAACAGATGCCTTTAAGGAGCTAGTTTTTAGCMTACTTAGTGTTTTGTGGTGTGGCATCTTCTCTAGGAGAAAGCAGCTGGAAGGGATCATAGGGAGAGGAGCAGCTTTGCTCTCCTGAGGTAGGTAGGTTGGAACCCACAGGTCAGTTTCTTCATCTATGATTTTGGAAGCGCTGCTTGTGGAAGTCTTGGGCTCCCTGTCAGAAACTCGTTTTGTCTCATTCTTTAGGATCAGATTTTCCTTCTGGGCTGCCCTAAAGACTTTCAAAGATGGAACAAGCTTCTGTCCTCACCAGGAGGCAGAGTGCTCTGTGCACGTTACATCTGGTTCTTTGCATAATGCCTTTTCCATTTGTGTCATTGTTACTTGTCTTCCCTAAATTGGAATAGGGAACAAAAAGAAAAGAGAGAAAAAAAAAAAAAAAAAAAGAAAAAAAAACCCACCTCTTTTTTTCTAAGATTACATAAAGCAATGTGGTGCACTTGAACTGTGTTCTCTAAAGTTATAATCCATGATTTTTGATCCCAAATTCTATTGTTTTGTTAGTCGGAGATATTATAGTACAAGTGAGTACGGATGTCCTTTGTGTTTACATGTGTATACTTCCAATACCTTGCTTATGAAAATCAGTATTTTTCCTTCCACCTTAAACTTGTAAATCTGACAGTTGATAACCCGTGGTTTTCTTTTTCAAGTCCTGTCTCCCAGTATGTCTGATTTAGAACTTATAGGTAGTAAACACGCACAGTTACTGCATAACTTTAGGCCTGAATTCTACAGCTTTATAATTAATGTTCATAATTATTATATCTTCACCACTAGTTTCTTAGTAGTGAGAAAATCAGTGTCTTGAGATGATGGGCATGATGTCACATCATGTGCCCGGGATAAGAGAAACCTCRTCTTCTGACCTAATCTACTAAACTTGCTTTGGAAAAACCTTTATCTTGCTTTTGGTAGCCGGACAGCTAGAAAACACCATAAACTTCACTGAGAAATGTTTAAATATTTTATTTGCACGGTTTTCTAAATCCTGAAGTGTGTGTACACTCAACTTGAGGATTTCTGTAAGAGCAAGGTTGTCTTTCTTGTCAGATAAACTATGTATGTATGTTTATGTGCCTGTACAAATTACAAAAATAAGTGGTTTGCCTCAAACAAGAGGAAGGAAATCAGAAAATTACTGGGTAATTTACTGAAGTATTTTATGGGTGTCTTTGAACACTGTTTATTGAAATATTTCATGATCCTTGCTTTTCAAGTATCACAGGTGGAAAAAGCATTTCTAACAGGAATCCTGTGGAAAAGCGTAGATTTTCTTTTGGTAACAGCACGTTCACTTTGGCATCGTTTTTGAAGTATGTTTTCATGCATCACAGGAACTTCTGTAGCTGCAGCGTGTTCTGTCTTTGTTCTATTTGATGCCTCTACGAAGTTTTTATAAAGCCGATATTTGCTTGGCCTCGTGGTTAKAGCCGCCTTGCTGTCTGTCACGCGCGTGCAGGCTGCTCAGCTAAAGCAGTTAAATCGCTCCCACAGCGCGGCCTCTGCTTGTGTTGCTACTTGCTCGCCTCGGCTCTGACGCGCTCCGAGTGGAGGAGCAGAAGTTGGGTGTCGCGGCGAGGTGCCCTTGTCTGCAGCGCTGCAGGCTCGGCTGTGCGCGGAGCCCCCGCCTCGTGCGGCGCAACGCGTACGCTCGTCGCTCTGGCCAGAGCAGGGCTGTTCCATGGATACCCCCTGCACTGCCGTGCTGCAGGTGGCAGGCTACGATTTGAACATCTGCTGACACAGTCATACAGCATATTTGAAGCTTGACATTTATTGAATACTTTTATTATTGAATTTATTCATATTTGAAAATTGAAGGCTAATAGGAAAATTCCAGTTCTTCTGCAACATGTACTAAAGCAGTAATTTTTTTCTTCTGCTTACCCTGAAATTTGGTCTTAGATTTTGCATAAAACTAAGCATTAAAAGCTACTTCTTATGTAGCTACAGAAAATGAAGTTTAATTCCTTTGTTATTATCCCTTCTTACATATGAACTGTTGGCTCTGACTATGTATTTGTTTTACAGGAAGAATCCTGTTCACTTTGAGCAGTTTAGTCACCCTAATGATGATGACTATCATGAGATAGACGTCATAACTCAGCGTAACAGCGATGACCGACCCGAATGTCCTTATGGAACTACTTGTTATAGGTAAAAGGCACTGTACAAAGTGGCTCTTCTTAGTTTTGTGTTGTTATTTATGTGGTAAGACTGTTTCCCATGAACCTAAAAAATGAGAATGAAGGAATGGGTAATTCTTGATGCTGAATCTTGAGCGTAGCGTATCACGATGGCTCCGCTGTCTTTCTGATTGCTTTCTGAGACTTGCTGTGGATAGACCACTGCCTTTAAACTGCCAAAGTCTTGCAAAATACCTGTGAGGAATTCCAGCTAACTTGGGAAAGCTTGGCTTGTGGAAGCTTCCAGGGACAGAGAAAAGGTGACCTGGGAGGCAGGTGACGGTCACTGTCTGTGCTGCTCTCTCTGTCACCAATCTCTCATCCCAAAGCAGCAGGCTGCTAAACAGGCAGCAAGCTGACATTTCAAAGTATCTTAAGATACTAATAAAGTAGTATGTATCCCATACATGTACTTACTTGATTGCACATTCAGCCAATCTGCTGAGTAGGGTCAACCTCCATCTGTTTCCATGGTTAAAATGATTTTGCAAGTTAAAAAGCATCCTACCCAAGAGTGAGCATATCAAGAACTTGGCTGTACTGAAAGTGCTTCATGGATAGGAATGTATGAATTGTTGTTAGCTTCCAATAGCAATTATGTAGTCACTTGGAAAGGTCCATGAGCACCAGGTACCTCTGTTTTATTGGCACATTTATTTGCAACTCCTTGCTGAAAGGAGACTTTTTCTTTAAGGCAGTATCCTGCCTTGTATTTAGCTTTCTGCAATGTTTTTTTTAAAGTTGAACGCTGAATCAGACAGTTAAAATAGATATTGAGAAGGCTGAAATAATGACAGCTATTTCTGTAAAATAATAGTAATAGAACACTACTTGTGGGCTCTTTCAGCTTGCTCAATCATGCTTTTTATTGCATTCCTCCCTGTAGGAAGAATCCACAACACAAGCTAGAATACAAGCACAGCGCACCTCCAGGTAAGCAGTGTTGTTCAATATGCCTCCAAGTGGCAAGGGGAGGTGACCCAGTTCTGCAGATGCACACAGGTGTTTGGAATAAAATGCTTTCAGCTACTGAAAGTAAAAATTACTGTATCTGTAGCTTACCCTGTTTTGCGCTGCACATGTGCTCCTCCTGAGCTTGAAGTCTGTGGTGAGGAAGCTTGGCCACCTCAAGCTTGCAGCTGCTTTTCTAGATGCAATAATGCTTTTCCCATGCAATAATGACATGGGGTTTAATGCTGCTCTCTTATGGACAAAAGTGTCATGCAGCAAGTTGATATTTGCATGAGCTTGGTGGTTTTTATTGAAAATAAAACATGGTATACTGTGATGTTATGTGATCTTGGTATTCCCCTCCCTGCCTTTGGAGCTGTAGTGATAAAATGAAAATGGGAATGTGTTTTGATATTAAAGGTATTGAAGTACGACAGAAGGTGTATGAGAGAGACAGTACATCCTTTCATGGGATCCTTAAAATGAAAAATCATCCAGTTTGTGTGTGATGCTTCAGCTGATCCTTCTCTTGAGGAGAAAGATCAACTAGGTGGTGCTCCCTTCAAAGTCACTTTCTCTAGCCGATTCTTGAATATTCCACAAGTGTTTTTTTTTTTTTTTTCTTCCCCCTTTCCCTAGGAAGAAGAGCTTTGGAGGAAGACGGTGACAATGATGGTGAACCAAACRAATATGACCTTAATGACAGCTTTATAGATGATGAAGAGTGTGCATCTACTGATGAAGATTCCGACTGGGAACCAAATTCAGAAGAAAAGGATAACGAAGATGTGGAAACACTTCTGAAGGAAGCACGCAGATTTGTTAATGCCAAAAGGTAACTGTGCTTCACATCAAAAACTCCCTCTCCGGTTGAGCTGGAACATGAATGTGTGAGAAGGGGAACTGCTTTAAGACCTGTGAGGGTGTTTTTTCCCCCTCTCACTGATAAATAGGCACTACAGGGAGATTTCAGTGGGGATGAGGGCACCAAGCAATACATTTCTTTTTTTTTTATTATTTTATTTTGATCTTTGTTTTCTTAGGGGCTGGTGTCTAGYGATTTGAGTAGTAATATTTTTTAAGAGAAATTTCTCATCTGTTTCTCTCGCAACGTTGTTAGCTATCAGAGCTTAAAAGACTTTAAAAGTTGTTAAGCTGCTTTGTTCTGTGATTGAAATAAATACTGACATTAGAAAGGCCTGAGTTTTGCTAATGCGTAATGTGGCGATCCAGACCTGGTGTTTGCCCCAGGGGAGAGCCAGGTCCCTTGCTGTGCCGCAGCCTAGACCCCCYGCAGGCTCCCAGCTGCCCTGGAGCTGCGGCTCCTTGCGGCCGCTCATGCAGGGCCACAAGTGCTGGGGTCGGAGTCCTGGCTGTCACCGGCTGTCACTGCCAACAACCTGCTAAAGCAGGACGAGTTCTTAGCGACTCCCTGCGAAACGAGGCGCCTGCGGAGCAGTGACTTCCGAGAGGACACCGGCCAGCAGGACAGCAAGACCCCTCATCCACCCCGATGATGCGAGATGGCTGGCGGGCTCCAAGCTTGCGGCGTCCCCACGGACACAGCGTAGGTCTCCGTTGRAGTCTCCCCCCGCCTCAGATCCATGGTTATTTTTTATATCTGGCGCGTCCTGCCACTGCTGGCTCATGTTTGCACAGTGCTAATTGGGGAAAAAACAAAAACAAAAAACAAAAAGCATCCTCAGAATTTTCCTTCTGACTTTTTTCCACTCTTTTTCACTCTGAAAAAGGAGTATTGTTTCCACTCTGAAAACAATACTCCTCTTCATTATTTTCTTCAGCCAAAATAATTTCCCTTCCAAAAAAAAAAAAAAATCCCTCCAGAATTCTTACGAAGACTTACAACACCAAAGTCAGAAGGAAAATTCTGGGGGTGCTTTTTTTAGGAAGGAAATTTTTGAGAGCTTTTTGGGGAAAATGTTTTGGAGTAATATTTTTGGCAGATGTTGGCAGATTTCTTTTGCGGAAAATAATTTTTTTGGGGGGGGAAGAGTTTTGTCGGGGATTTTTTTTTTTGAGAATTGCTTTAAGAAAAAGCTCCTGATGACTGACTATCTAAAGGAAATTTAAGTAATGTAGATTGCAAAAATAATACTTTAAAGGTTTTTTTTTTTCCTAAATGATCTTTTCCTTGGTTAACTTGTATTCCCAGCATTTAAAATAGACTCCCTTTAAGTGAAATAGCAAAATGATTTTGAAGAAATAATGAGCTCTCCTTAAAAGTTGTTGGGATGTACTAGGCAAATATCTGTTTGTTTGTTTGTTTGTTTGTTTAAGATCATTGTTGTCAAACAGAAAACAATAATTGCTGTTCTCTTGGCTCAAATAAAAATAAAAGCTTTCTCATGATTCTTTCTTGTAATAGGTAGCATTATGTTCTTCTTGTTAAGATCTTACTGAGTGCCAAATTAAGAAGAACCAAACGTGTGATGTAAGTAAATGTGGACTTGGGGGCAGAATTACTATGGTAAGTAAGTAGATGGCGTTTTCACCCTCAGGAGTTATTGGAAGAAATGTCTTGTCCTTGTCCTTTGTAAATCCCATGTCTCAGAAACTGTAATGAGGAAAACGGTGCTGTTCAATTTACTCATCAACAACCTGGATGAAGGAATGGAGTGCCACCTTATGATACCTCATGATGATACCAAACTGGGAGGAGTAGCTGATAGCCCTGAGGGCTGYACCACCATCCAGAGGGACCTGGACAGATTGGACAAGTGGGTGGGGAGAAACCTCAGGAAGTTCAACAAGGGCAAGTGCAGGGTCCTGCACTTGGGGAGGAAGAACCC